TGTTTTATACGAACCTCGCAAACTTTTAAACACGTTCTCTTGTGATACCTGCGAAAGTATTCAGTATAATTTCCGGTAAGATTTTTGCGGACAATCTGATCGATTTCTCTTACGTTGTGTGCTAAGACTGAAACTTTTCACCTCGAGCAAAGCTCCGTCGTAAGGTCCAAACCATCATGGCGAGCAACTAAGCTTCTTGTATATGTCCGTCTTAAAAACACACGAAAGGATTCCAAAGCACACTTCACTCTGATTGGGCAGAAAAACACAAAGATTTTCTGGCACCAATCAGATGCCAGAACGACTGCGACCGTTTGGAACTTGTCTTGTAAGACAATGTCCCCAGGGGCTCTTCCGCCGTAACTTGAAATCGACTCACAGCCCCTGGGTCTCCGAGGATGATCTTCATGTTTCTTCAAGGAAAATCTGCGAGGGTCTGGAGAAGAGTATTTTTCTCTCGTTCGTTCTGCTTCTTCATCTTGCCCTCACAAACTAACTGCCTGCCTGAAACAGGCTCATGTCAAGAGTTGCAATTTAAAAAAGGACAAACATAAAAACTTACTCGAAAGTTTCAGCCGCAACGGTCCTTGCTTGGACGGAGAACAAGAGTATGAACCATCCGGGACATCGCCTCGGTCTGACATCTCTTGAGACAGCGGCTGAAATTTCTTACCGGCTATCTTTCTACTGCTGCGATTGTTATTACTGCGAAAGAAAAAAACAGCAGAACTTTGGCAAAAAGTTATCGTCTTTAACACAAAAGAATAATATAGCGAACCTGAAAAAATTCCCACAGCTATCATCTGTTTAGGAATCAATTTCTTTCAAACTCTTAAGTAAAAAAAAGTATGTTAGAGTGTTGTAGAATAAAAAATCAAAACTATCTCAACAGCCAATCAGAATAGAAAATGTCATAAAGAGCCAATGAGGACCCAATACAAAAACTTGTAAGCAAACTGTCTGAGGCGCGGGAAAATCGCGAGTGAGAAAGACGCACTTGGCCTCAGTCTTGCATTTTGATTGGTTGAGTAGCGCGAGCATTTTAGACCAATCACGATGCAATCTCGGATTACTTACCACATTCGAAAGGAATTGTCCCGCTATACTCAAAACAAGAAAATAAAAAGTCGGAGATGGAAAAAAAAAAACACCACCACCACCAAACAGAGAGGTTGAATAATAATGCCGGCTGCATTTAAGGAACTTACTTGATAATTTTCCCATTGGATACAACAAGCTTGAGACTAGAGTCTACAGGAGCACTGAGCTGCACGTTGTCGCCATGCGACTCCACCTCGGCAGCTAATTGTTCCTGCGTTCGCGGAATCTTCAGCTTAAGCGAGGGAAGACTTGTTGAAAGTGGATCAGCTTTTCTTTTTAAATCTGGTCCAGTGTTTGCTATTCTTATCACGGGCTTATTGTCATCCAGCTCACATTTTAAAAATTCTCCGGTATTTTTAGGACTATAAACATTTTTGCTGTCTGGTTTTGGAGCTTTGATTTTTAGGCGTGGCACAGACCCGTCAACCAACGGCGCAGACACAGGACTCCCACTTCCCTGTTGATAGTTCTCGTCAATTTTAGGAGTTGAAGGCCTTGAAGTTTTTCCAGATTTCTAAAATGAATTTAAAATTATTTTATTATATCAAACGTACATTTAAAAATTTTTTCTTGGAATTCCATCGGGTGGAAAGCCTTAACATATAACAGGCTTTCGTACAGCAAAGGTCTTGAATGTAACAACTGAAGGTTTAAAAGAAAAATATAAATGTTTAAAAAAATAGTGGAAGTAGATAAATAAGAAACATACGCCCCCTCTATGGCGCTTTTCGATCGTTTGACGTAAAACCAATAAACAAAAGCAAACGGTACGGCCGTCAGAACAAAGAAAACCATTGTGAACTCAACATAAAGACAAGCAAACTGCTTCCAACAATGGAAAACACCGTAGACTACGGCCTGTTTTAGATGTTCACTCAGTCAAACGAAGCGCGATGGTAAAAGACGGTAGCGGAGTGAAAAATCGAGGGACGGTTGGGGCCGCGTCGCTTCTCTACGTGACCCGACCCAGACCTCCCCAGTTTTCGCTCTGCCGCAACTATCGCTCTCAGTTTTACAAACTGAACGCCTGGAACGGGCTTGATAGACTACAAAGTGAATAATTCTAATTTTCTGACTTTTCAAAGAAGCGGTAAAGAAAAGAAAAAGAATGAAAGCCTGGCTTGCTTTCGTCTCTCAACTGAAAATTGCTCTAAACACAAGTAAAGCTGACAAACCTCGGTCTTTTTCAGTTCTTTAGCGATAGACTTGATGAGTTTGCTCGGCGATACACTGTCAGGAATGAAGAACTTGTGAAGCTTCGTGAATGCCTGTTCGATTGAGGACAAATATAGCTGCATAACAACTGGGTATTTAATAAGAAACATTTTTGTTTTAGAGTTTTGCGGCCTTCAGAACAGCCTAGCTGTAGGGATATAGTCTGCGGTCTTTCCCTGCATTGCAAAACACGACTAGCAAAAGTTTTTCTTTTAAATCAGCACTATTAATTCTCACAGTATCAACAAACGCTTTTCAATCGACCAATTTATACATGTGTTTTTCATGTTACCGTGTTCCCACCAATAGCAAAGCTTCATTTTCCCGTAGATATCCCACACACAACCCAAAATTCCTCTATTCAGTCTGACCAAGGGCTAGCACTCGAAAAGTCAGCTTTTAGAAAATCCGTAGGTGGCCAATTAACATTATCAACTCAGTTTATAAAACCAAAGTTTCTTGTAATACCCCACACCGACGCAGCACCACAGTTTTTTTTCACAAACTTACTCCTTTTACACAAATAATGACTGCAGCCTCACCTCTCCTTTTCTGCTCCACTCCTTAAGTGCTCCGACGAGACTGTTTAAACTCTGAACTACACTGACAGGCGGTTTTCTGCCTGCTTCATGGACAGCTGTGCCACATAACACAAAAACACAAAAGATATTTGAAAGTGTAGACGCTTATCATCAGAGACGAATGAAAAGTTGTGTGTGAGTCGAGTGTTGTAAGTCTAGTTTGTGTAAACTGATTGGTCAGTTTCGCTGTAATGATATTGGCTGGAAGACTCATGTAGTGTAAGTCGGTCGACACAGCGGATAAATGCCGGGCATGTTCGAGGGGATCAATGTTAAGCGTCGAACGCCAAGTTCCCGCTTAAAGTTTCTGAGGAAAATACGGGAAACAACCGCTGTCTCGCAAAATAAGCGACAGAAAATTGAAACGTTCATTGAAATCTGTAAAAGGAAAGAAAAGTTAGGAAAAGGAAAACTCGAGACTTTCCTAACACGGCTTAATCAACTACGATATCCTGATGTTTTACCATTCTGGTAAGAGTTCGGGCCGGTTATTTACACGAGGTGTAACCCAAATCACGGTTTGACGCAGTCAGTGGGCCTCGCACTTTCTCTATAAGTGGGCTGATAAAATATATGTCCTCCCTATGTTAGCTTTCGGCCCTCTTGACACCGTTCACTAGAATAAATTTTCAGGAAAAAAGGTCCAGCTAAACTGAGGAATGTTTAGGACGCGGTTTTATCAAACAACGACTAAACTTTGTTTAAATAACCGGCCCTTTGGGTTACACTATCACTTTCCTTTCGCGCAGTGTTGACCTTAACAGTTCAATGGTCGTATTAGAGACTGCTAAAAACAAAATAGTGAATATAAACCGTTTCCTTACCTTTTATCTTGTCGAGTAAATACACTGCCGCGTACCAATTAATTGACTCAAAACACGGATGAAGGAACTTATCAGGTGTCTTGAGTTGTCTTTCAAGTTTATAGACCCTAAGAATACAACCAAGAATATGCACATCATATTTTAACTTTTTTAACTTCCAAGAGAGATTAACATGTAACTTCTCCCGTTGATAACTATACATTGTACAGCAAACAGGTAATGAGAATACTAAAACTTATTCAGAACAAGTCGTTTTCTTGATCTAACACCAAATTCTTGTCACAAAGCACTCTGAGTTAATTTGAGAAATTATTAAGACAAATGGATCTCTCGAACTTAATTAGCAACGAATGTGGATCTGCCTGTTTTCTCTGCAGCTCGTAGAGACAAGGAATATTTTTCATAGAATATTACCGGTATATTTTTATATCTTTCTTATTAGTATAGTATTGGTATTTTTGTATAAATATCTTAGAATTTTATTTTATTTAATATTTATTTAATATTTAGTGGTATTATTTTTACTGTGTCTCTAATTAGCATGTATGCCAAAGTACTTTGACACTAAAATAAAGTTATTCATTAATTTACTTATCATATAAGTAAATAAATGCTGTGCGACTTGGACAATTTCAGCAACTTCCAAAAACACGCCTGATATTAATCCTTAATTTTACGAGGAACCATGCAATTACCTATACTAATTTACAAGGAAATGTGTAGCAGCTAGAGGGGAGAATCAACAATCAGAACTTGGGGAGAAATTAAAAGGATTAATCAATTTTAGCTGGTACATGTAATTCTCAGTTAAGCTTGACTGTAAGTTTACACCTCTACTCTGAACAGTCAAGTGAATATAGGCTACACATGGATAACTAAAAATTAACTCTTCTAATCATGAACATACCAACATGCCTCTCAACGTCCATGACAGTAAACTTTTTGTCTGGTATAACCATTCCCAGGCCTTCTTTATTGGCAACAAGAATAGGTCTGTTGAAACCATGTGACTCGAAAAACTCTGTTGACAGATCTGTGCCATTTTCCAACCTCAGAATCACATTGTCCTCCCTAAACAGAAATACAAAATTTGATAAATATCCATGCAGTTTTTTTGTACTCCTTCAATCACAACCTTCATGCAACTCTGCTTCTTTCACCATAGCCATGTTATAAATTTCCCGACACTATTAATGATGCACAAAGATCAAATTTTCTTTTTCTGACATATCTCAGTGGGCCAGGATATTAAATTCCCAAATCAGATTGGCTTCTAGCACACCCATATAACGTGTCCAGCTTTAAAACAACATGGACTATGGTTTGTAATTATTTCATTGCCTTTCATGGCAAACCAGAAAAAAACTAACTGCCCCCCCCCCCCAAAAAAAAAAGAAGAAGTAATGTACTGGTTGAGATCTATGCATATGGGAAAAAAGTCTGCTCTTAGTTTTAAGTACAGCCTTGGCCAAGACCTTGGGCACTATTTTATCATATGGACCTCCTGCCAAGGGAATAACTTATATATCTCAGGTATATTTTGTGAGATACAGTGCAATTCAAGGTAGTAAGGGTTTTCTTCAACCGTTAAACCATTCAAATTTCTCTTTATAATATTAGCCTTGAAACAATATATATATCTTATTAACCAAGCGCGAGGGCCATACTGGGAGAATATCGGCCCGAGGTCTTGACAGCATGGACCGAGCGCAGCGAAGTCCATACAAAAAAGACTGAGGGCCGATATTCTTCCAGTATGGTCCCGAGCAAGCTTGGTTAATAAGAGATTTATTATACGACTGAAGTTCAAAGGGACACAAGTGTGGTATCATTTGGGACAGGGCCCGGTCCAATACTTAGAGAATATTGGACCGGCACTAGAACATTTTGATTGGTTGATCTTAGTTATTGGGCCTCTGACTGCCCGAGTTGTGTAATAAATATATATATAGGTCATGAGAATCAAGGAAATAATTTCCAATTTCAGAAGCTCCTGATTATCAATAAAACTCTTCTTGTAAGTATCACAGGAGGAGTAAAGAGAACAGTATGGAGAATACACAAGCAGCATAGACACAGCTGAATAATGAAATGCTACGTCAGAGGGTATGCGGTCAACAACGCGGGCTCTAAGTGTCCTTGGTCTAAAATATAGCAAAATTAGCAGAAAATAATAAGGGCTGACTTTTAAAACTGAGGAACTCTGTTTTCGTTTAAGGCATTTTCTTATTTCCAGAGGTTTTATGGAGAAAATTAATTTTTGAAAATTTTCAGGGGGTGTAGCAAGTTTTTGGAGGTTGTTCCGTAAACAAAAAGCAGCAAGGAAAATGACGTCTCGAAGCAACAGAATAGGAAATCAACCATGCAAACGTCTCAAAATCTGTGTTTCTGCAGCAAAACCTAGCGCATGCACATGCATTATTCAGCTCTGTCAGCAGCATACTGATACTGAAGAAAAGACATACTGACTGTGACTCAAATAAGGAGAACTTCTTTACTCACTTGAATTTTCTGGTTTTTAGCTCTTTGATAAATGCAACTGTCCCTGCTTGGACAGCCTAAATGAAACAAAAAGCCAACTTGTAACCAAACGAGATTAATCAGGGCTTGACACTAACTTTTCAACTTACTAACCAAGTGGCTGATGAAAACTTAGATGTCACCACAATTTCGGTTGTTCACTAGCCCAACTGGCTTGTAGAAATTGAAAACCACTGGCCTAAACTGAATTTCTACTAGTCTGTGGCTAGTTGGCTTCCGTTAGTGTCGAGCCCTGATTAATGCATACAATCAAATACCAGTAAATCAATGTTGCAGATTAAGTATATACTGTAAAAACCTGTATAAGCAGACACCCATGGGGGAATGGTAGGGTGATTGCTAAATGCAGGTTCCACAGAACAGGAGTGTTTGTGTTTTAAAATACAGTGAAAGTGCCCTGTTATGTCATAATTGACCTCTTTATGTACAAAAACTGTCTTAAGAAACTTCTTATATTAATTTGGGGAGACAAACAAGGAATAAATTTCTCTAGAAAGACTATTCTCAGTTATACAGTAGAAACAGTCTGTTGAGACTCAGATACAGATAAGATTGACCATGACCACTTAATCGAGGTGAAAATGGTGGTGAAAATTACATTAAGTAAGGGGGAAAAAGATTAGGACTTTGACAATAACCTCTTAATGCATTGCTGCTTAATATGACTTTGACTGTTCTGACATTTGGACAACCTTAACAGAAGTGATTGTTGAAGTCAAGTGTACTGATTATTATTGTTCAGAAATTATGATTTTACCTTTGATCCATCATCAATTTCACTATAGTCATGACGATGCCAATTGCGTCTTTTCTTTACTACAAGCAAGAAAAGCACAGTTCAGTACACAGAAGTAAGATTTGACCAAGTAATCTGATACTTTGCCTGAAGAAAGACCTAAGAAGGACTGTTGTTACTTGTGGTGACTGACATTTCCATGACCTTATTGAAGGTAAACATCAGAGGTGAGTTTCTGCCAACAACTCTTCAGACAGCTGTAATGATGGCTTCCACCAAGGCCGTCAGGGGTATGTGACCACCGCTCAAACAGTCCTTTCCAGGACTATTCTCACACCAACAAAGTTTTTACCAAGTTCAAAAAACAAATATGAAGCAGACAGGTGAGGCATGGCTTAGAAAGTTGATATTATGGACAAACATTCGCAAAGCAATTGGTGTAATAACTTGTCGTACATATTGCACTGTCTGTACATTATGGGTATGGAGTCTCATAAAAGCTTAGATCACTGCAGCAGCTCAAGTTATAATGACAGCAGAGTTTACAGATTTAATTAATAGAAGAAAATGACGCCAAAATAAAGGTAATAATATTAGTTTAAGTTCAACGCTACAGTGTAAGTGGCTGAGAAAAATAACGCTAACCTTAGTTTTTACCATACAGGTGTTGGACAGGACAATCAGAATTCAATAATACAACTTGAAAGCGGAAGGAATTAAAACATAGTTCTTTACGAAAAGATTTACAAATAGCAGGCAGGAATTTATGGTTCACCCGCATGGTCTGAACAGCTTGCGCGAGACTTCGCTGTTTACAATTTCTAAACAACTTTGATTCAAGCACAAACGCCAACGTAATAAAACTTCAGCATCCAAAATAACACAAATCACAATTCTCAGCATTTAAACTAAGCCTTGATATTGGATAGAAAAATCTCACAAACCCTCGAAAATAACCTTACATGTCTTGCTTTTACGTTAATATCAATTTCATGATTTCCGAATGCACTAAACAGGTGATCTCAATGACGGAATTAGCTGAGATATACGCTTTATTTGTTGCAAGATCTGATTCTCTTTCACTTAATCGCCATTAACTCCGTAAGGGGCACGTTTACCGAAGGAAAATATCTACCAGATTTAAATAGGTTTTTTTAACACTACAAAAGAAAAAAAAAACAACAAAAACATTGTGGGAGAAAAGTAAGCAACGAAAAGCCTTCATACGCACGCATTGCTTTGACCGATCGAAGTTACTATTCCGTAGTATAATTTTCAAGCACTGAAACAATCGCTACTGACCTTGTGCATTCATGCGCCTTTTATTCAGTCATAAAGATAGTAAAGATGACTTTCACTTACGCGTAAGTGGCCCGTGTAGTAACGCACAATCTGGGCAGTGGTATCGCTCAATGTCTGAAGCTTGGTGCTCTTCAATGCTAACACAACTTAAAAAAAAAAAAACAATTTAACCATCGCTTTAGAGTGGAAGTACAACCAACCGCTAAGAAATAGAGATACCGACCTTCCGTGGTACCATTCTTCGCAAGAATCGCACTGAATCATAAACTGAGTTGGGTCGTACGGTTGCCTACATACACAATACAAAGGATCCGCCATCTTGTTTCTCTTTGACATGATATGACGTCATGACCAGAGTGGCCTCGCTTCCGTTCGAAGACTCGGTCTATCCTAGCGCCATATTTGATATTTGATGGTTTGTTTTACTCGGCGCTGTCTCCACAACCACCTGATCACTGCGTTCGACATTAAGAGATCTCACACTATTTGTGTCACTTTTTTCTGAATGCTGTGCAATTTTAGGGCTTGGGAAGCATCTTGGACCGGCTTTCCACTCACCCGGATTGGGATGTGCAAACATTGGTCTGAAGACATACACGCCCGTGATTTCAAAATCGAACGAGCGCGGAGCGCTAGTTTGATTTGAATTCACAAGTATTATGGCCGGCCATGCGCCAATTTCTTGCGCAAAGTTTCAAAGGAAGACAAACCACCACTTTCTCGCAAAACGAGCGAAAGGAAACTGAAACGTTCATAGAAATCTGTAACAATAAGCAAAAGTAGGGAAAAGGAAAACTCGGGACTTTTCAAACAAAACTAAAGCTTATTCAAATACGGGTATCCTGTTGATTTACCATTCTGTTTTAAGCTTTACCAAAAAAATTCTACGGGTTTAGGAACCGTGACTCACTGGCTTGTGTGTGACTCGTGTGAGACAACTTGTTTCTGATAGCCTGAAAGCACACCACCTAGTCAATACAAGGTAGCACAACGTCCGCACATGCGCAGACGTATAACCAATGTGTTCATGCGGGTTTAGCGTCATCTTGACTAGCTGGCCACTCGCCTCGATTTCATATGAGGGCCTCGTTTCCATGTGTTAGCCAGCCTTAATCATATCGGTGAAAGGTCATTTTTTCAAGTAGACCACAAAATGCATTAATTAACCTGAAGCCAGTAATTAAATTGTTGAATTGAAACCCTAACCTGGTGTTATTAATCTCGTAAGCCCTATCAACGAGTCTCTTAATGAGACCCACTTTGTAAGAGTACGAAGTAAAGCTGAAATAATTAGTTAGTAACCCAGTGAAAGTTTTCTTGCGGTAAACCCTAGTTAGAGAGGAACTGGGGTTTGAAGTTTCTTCACCACAGCTATCACCCAGACTCATTTTATATTTAACGGTTCTTTTTATGATCGAATAGATGGCATAGCCATGGGGTCTCCCCTTGCTCCTGACTTAGCTAATCTTTTTATGGGACATCATGAAAAATTTTGGTTGGAAAATGTTTTGGCTCCACAATTTTATTTTATCGCCGGTATGTCGATGATATTTTTTGCTTATTTAACTCAGATCGCGATGCCAATATATTTCTCGACCATATCAACTCTAGGCACCCAAACATCAAGTTCACTATGAAACAGGAGGTTAATCACAAATTACCTTTTTTTTAAATGTCCTTACTGACAACCATGACCCCAGTTCCTTTCTAACTAGGGTTTGCTGTAAGAAAATTTCACCGGGTTACTACCGAATTATTTCAGCTTCACCTCATACTCTTATAAAGTGGGTCTCATAAGACACTCGTTGATAGGGCTTACAATAACACATGGTTAGGGTTTCACGAGGAAATTAACAAACTTGCTGAAATTCTAAAAAAGAATCTTTTCCTTGCCCATTTAATCGAGAAGATTATAAAGCGTTACATCACTGGAACCCAAAGCAATAATCATCATCCCCGGGGTTCTCTTCCCATCGCTTCACCTACCTTTTATTTTAAGCTACCCTACATAGGCCACTTTTCTGCTATCACTCAAAAAAAGATCCGCCATTTTGTTAAGCGCTATTGCAATGACTTGGATATCAAATTGGTTTTCTCTTCCTTCAAAATCGGTACCTTGTTTGGTGAGAAAGACCCTGTAGCTGACGGGCTCCGTTCATGAGTGGTTAAAAAGTTTGTATGTGCTGGCTGTGTGTACGTCGGTGAAACCTGCCGACATTTTTCCACACGTGTCAGAGAGCACTTAGTCAGTGACAGGGCCTCTCACATTTTCAGGCATCTGAAAGATTCTCCACATTGTAGCGCTTTATGTTCAGTAGATAACTTCCATACTTTAGATCACGCCTCTACTGTGACAAGTTGTGTGACTTTTTTTATAATAAAGTTGAAATGGTAAATTGGCCACCGTAACGATTACAAAAGCTGACGTTTCGAGTGTTAGCCCTTCGTCGGAGCTCCGAAACGCTCGAAACGTCAGCTTTTGTAATCGTTGCGGTGGCCAATTTACCATTTCAACTTTTTTGATATATCCAAATTATTTCGTT